AGAGCTGTTGTAGGGTAATTATTATTATCATTATTATGGTCTTACTTTTTTTTTTTATTTTACATAACGACAGTAAAATTACAATACTATCATTTATGAATGTCGATGGAGTTGTTGCTTTTTCTCGGCTTTTATTTTGGCAGAAACCCACAGGAAGATCTCAGTGCTGCTTTTTGTTGACAACAGCATGCAGATTTATAAATGATTCTCATTACGAATTTGGGAAGATGTTTGTCGCACTTATCGCATTGTCACATGCCTTTAAAAAAATTTACAAAAATGTTACTGAGCAACTGACGAGTAACAAGTTCAGCGCAGATTTTCCTCGCGTTTTGGACTTTGAACCCTGGCAGAACCCTGTCAGAAATACATGCAATTCGTGCGTGCATTAGAAAATATAACATTCTGCAGTTTATTTACTAATCGTTTGAGGTAATTTCGCGATTTCAATCATCATACAATAACCTAACCACCAGCATTAGCCACCTCATCTTCTCATCGGAGACATGATGCAGCACTAAACAGTTTCTCGCTGTCGGTGCTTCGTGTTTGTAATGACTTCTGCGTCTTTCTCTGATAGTTTTAAATACTTTCATGCTGCCGACATGTTTGCTGCATTAGTGCGTGCCTCTATTTGATCGCGTTAGTCATTGTTCAGTTACGGTACATATTAGTCGGCCATTTCGCTTATTCGGCCGAACACCGAAAGAGATTTTTTTTGCTATTTTCGGCCGAATAATTTTGGTTGCCGAATATTCGGTGCATTCCTAATGTAAACGAAGCTATTGTCAAATTAAGGTGGAATATTTACCATATCCTTCTACACGGCCACTTTTGAATTCTCCTTCAAATTTCATCCCGTCAAACCTGCTGAAGATTCCAACCCCTTGGAATTTTCCCTGGGCGAACTCACCCTCGTACCTGTTGATCAGAAATAGTGTTGTTTAACCCGTAAATAGTCTCACAGTGTCACTACCAACATGTTCATCTCTGTTTAAAGGGGTCATATGATGCGATTTCAAGTTTTCCTTTCTCTTTGGAGTGTTACAAGCTCTTGGTGCATAAAGAAGATCTGTAAAGCTGCAAAGACTAAAGTCTCAAATCCAAAGAGATATTCCTTATAAAAGTTAAGAGTCAACCACGCCTACCTAAAACGGCTCGTTCTAACACGCCCCCACATGTCTATGTCACTATGTGGAAATATTAGCATAATGCCACCCAAATGTGCACGCAAAGAAAGAAGGCGTGGTTTCAGGAACAGCAGTCGTGTTGAAGCAGCCATGTCAGGGAGACGCTGTGTATTTCAGTGCGAAAGCAAAAGCACTTTATTTGGCCTTCCGGAAGTAGATGCAATTAGGAATCATTGGTTAAGATTTATTTACAACAGAACAGCACAACTCAGATGTTCGAATTTGTGCAACGCATTTTATGGACGACAGTTTTTTGAACCTAGAAGAGTACAAGGCTGGCTGTGCACAAAGGCTATTTCTAAAAAAAAAAAATTTTTTGTCATAGCAATTTCGACTTTGCTATGACAATCTGGCGCTTCTGAATCAGCGACTGTAAGTATGTTTTGTTATTAGTTTAAGTATTTGCTA